CACCTGTATATATACACACACACACACACACACACACACACATATATATATATATACTACACATACGTTTAGTTCACAGTGGTTAAACTGAATGCCTGAGTACGTTATACTGAACTATTTCTAACATGTAAATCACCAAGTTACGTGACATTCACAGCAGGTGTAAAATCCCAGTGGAACGATATGCATCGGAGTTACATTTTGACATTATTTAGCATTTGTGATGCCATCGAAAATTTATCGCCTTTGGAAAGGCCATGTGACAGCCGTTTCCGACGCAAAATATTCCTACACTTAGATCATGAAGATATGTTCAGTTCGAGGATTTTGTATATCCAATACGGGGATATCCCTTGTACTTAATAACATTGGAAAACAACGGACTATGGATTAACTTGGAACACCAGGATCATCCAGAAAGAGACCAGTAACAAGTCGTATCCCAGCCGTGATAAGCAAAATGCGGCGTCTTGTAACAGGTGAGAATCCCGAACATAATGATCAGTGACAAAAGTCATTTACATGCCCCACGCAAGAGAACGCAACATAATTGAGACGGATTTCCTTTTAGAAAAGCGACTCAAGTAACGTTTTGCATACCTCAGACAGCTAGATAATGAAACAGGTATTCATGCTATTCCATGCAATACATATCGGTCAAGTCGCTTATGAATTTATGTGTGATTTGACTGTTAAATGGGTGCTGGGGACCGTCGTTCTCGTACAATGATAGATTATAGTGTTGCGTCAGCGAGTCACATGACCACTGTGCGCCCTCTAGTTTCTAGAACTATCTTGTTCTTTCAGGAATGCTCTAGTAATTACTAGTAGGGTAGGCTGGTATATATAAGAGGGGAAAACGTGACGCGAGAAAGTAGTGTGTGTAGATAGTTAGTGAGTAATTGAACTGCAGTCACAGGGTATTGTTGAAGTTAACGTTCGTTCGTTACAGTGTCGTTTTAGCGCGAGTATTGAGATTAAGTGTATCGCAGAGTTATATTCGGAAAGAATAAAGCAGTTTTATTAAGTAAAGACTTGTGTCGTTAAAGTTTCGTCGGAACGAAGTTACGGAAAATCAATTAACAAACGGAGACGTAACAATAGAAATCCAACAGGCAATACTGTGCTTTAAATATGACAGCCTTACAACAGAAGTTTACGCTGTAGGGCTATTGTCAGTGTGCACGGACGTCAAAGAGAGATCATGATCAGACGTGGCGACATGGACTGTGACGTGGTGAGGTTCCAAAATCGTTTTAATATAGCATGAGTATGCTATATATACATATCATCCCAGAAAAATTTTAAGTGACTTGTTTGTTTGCTTAGAATTTTCGGACAAAGCTATACAAAGACATAGCCATCCTTAATTTTGAGCTGATAGACTAAAGGGAAGGCAGCTAATCAATAGTACCCACCGTCAAATCTTGGGCTACTCTTGATCGATCGATCAGTTGGATTTGATTGTCATTCGTATAGTGTATTTACTAGTCCAATGTGTTGATTGCATTTTTTGCGGTAACGGGATGAGAACCACGAATCCTCAGATTCATAGTCTGAGTAACTAACCACTAGACCACACCCGGCCTTAAAGAAATCTAATAAGAGCCGACTAAAAGGAAACCGATGGAGTTGTTTCACACCGAAGCCAAGAAAACGCTTCATTTTTAAATAATAAACAACAGAATAACTTAATATCTATAGGCATTCTTCTTATCAATGGATGGCTTCTTTCCATATACAACTGGTGGCTAGACAACTTAAGTCTACCACAAATGAAGGAGATAATAGAAATGTTGATCTGAACAAAGATACAGTGTACAAGTGATTTTGCTTAGAACTATATTTCTGCTACCATTCCCAAAGGCCTACACCAGCGAATGTACAGGAGACTAGTTTCATTGTCAAGATGAAAGTAATCTTCGCCGT